ACTTCAAGGGACTACTACGCCTGCTAATGGGAAACTAATAGGAATGGTTTATTTGTAAACAAAAATTGGGAATTCCAATGACATCAATTATTAAGAATTAACTCTCATAAGTAGAACTTATGAATACCTACTGAATATGAGCCATTAGTAAAAATAAGTTAGCAATGTAAGCACTAGTTCAATAAGAAATTATGGAGTATTCTAATTGGTTTGCACCAATACACCTTGGCTTTTATTATTATGTATAAACAATAGTTATGAGTTCTTTTACCATTAGAGTTTAACTCGTCGAGTACAGTCTTTGTAGACACAATTATAGAATAGGTTGCGGTCACCGGTGACCGCTTGGTGTTTGACAGTTTAATTAACCTAAAACAAGCTTGAGTTTGTTTTTTACTCATTTGCAGGTAACATAGAAAAAAGTGTGTTAAGTTCAATGTTCACTGAATTTCATTCCAATAAGATAGTATGTGTTAGATGATGAGTCATTGGTTTAAATACATTATTAAAGTATCATATAGAAGTAAAAATATAATAATGAGTAATGTGGGCACCATAATGGTACCTACATTGAAGATAACATAATATGTACTACCTACCTACTAAAGAAATGTTTGATATTGCATAGAGGGTCATAGCATAGAGCTTTATCAAGAAAGCTTACAAAAGCATAGTGATTTTTTGACGGTAATTTTCAAAATAAGTCAATTCCTTGTGCAATTGTTGGAAACATTAAAATATTGAGGTAGGGGCTTGGGACATAGAAAATAGAGAAATAAATACGTTTATTTATAGTAGCCGATAGCTTGTATGCGAGCATTGATAAAAATGATTGACAGAGTGACACTTACTGGGAATGCTCGGATCCTCATTTTGCCAGGTTTGTCCTTAGGTAACGTACTCTTCATCATAGCGGCTACAATATTTTGTACCAACGAAATACTACACAATTAAAGAAGATTTGATCACTGTTCATTTGTTGTCGCGATAACACATCGTTACTCTCATTTACACCTGCAAAGAGAGTTTTAGTAAACAACTAAACACAACGAATAATGCAATTTGTCCTCAACAAATCCGCACTTCACTGAGCCGCCGCCATTTACTTTTTACACTATTAGAACGCTTTATTATTAATGCGGTAATATATTTACAAAATATAAGGCAAATTCAGGAATCTGCTCTAGTAGGTGTCAATTAAAAATAATAAATTCTGAGACTCCAGTCATATTTGTGAATAGTCTTATTGACATTGACAGTTAAAATATCTTTTGTCTCTTTCGCTCTTGTGTAAAAGCTCGTATACAATAGCGCCACCTCACGTTCTGAGGGTGACGTTCTTTTTTGATTTCCTTTTCTCTGCAATGGCTATTATTATTCAGATTCGTTTAAGCACTTTATGCAAGGATGTGTTAACTTACAAGTAATGAGATTATCCACAGCTAGCTTGGTCACAAGTATTTCACTATCGCAATATATATAGTACATGTATTTTTCCGCTTTAGCATGCCTATTAGAATCTTCAATTGTTTCAGCTTTCTGACCAGACCATAAACAAATCTGTAATGCTTTATGCTTTTAATTACTTTTTCAGTTTCGAAGTCTGAGCATTGATCTTTTTAGTAATATGTAATCATCATTCTTCGAATGCTGATTTACGCAAGATTAATATACTAAATAATTTAAACAATTTTAGAAGGAAAAAAGTATACAATAAAAATCTTCAACAACTGAGGCTCATTGTTAAATAGTTATTTAATTTTTTCATTTTTCAAAGGACTAAATTATATGTATTCTATATATAAAGGACGTTGAAAAACTATACTTCTCAAAAGATAGGTAATAAGTTCATGCAGGTTCATGCTTTAGATTTTATATAACTAGGTATTGTATTTTTATGAACACTTATTTAACTTGAGGAAAGAACCTACTTGAAACTGAATAGCAATATTATTTAATATTTTGGATCTTATGGTTTTTAGAGAACAATTATTGAAAAAATCTTTGAAGTTACAAAACCTTACTGTAGTAACAGTACACAGCTGTGAAAGAAGATGGCGCTACTAGTTACAAATGATGAGTTAGTGTGAAAAGACTACTAACTTCAGCTTCTTCACTTACCGGTGCCTACGTGGAGATGCGAGCTTTAAGATGTGCTTATAGTATTTGCATGTATGGTTGGCGAATGACGTATTGATTAAATTTTTGAACAAGAATAATTTATAGGTACCTAAAACTAAATATTACGATAATGCCTGTTCCACGAATATATTTTCAGGAGTCAGGAATCGGACTATGAGACTCCTATTCGACAGTTTCGCTATTGACAATTTTTCTAATGTCGGGCACAGATACTGATACCTATGTACACTTTTTTTAAGGGGGGAAAATCATCGAATGACTGCTCCCGCCTGGGTGCGGCGGGAGGGAGTGTCAGACTCTTACTGACTAAAAACCACCCCGTTACTTCTGCACGTCGAGCCGGAGCCCCGGCAACCCGTTAGGTTCTCCGCGACACCTATGTATAATAAAACAGTCATTTCAATAAAGCCTTAATCATCAAACGGTCAGGTTATTCAGAAATATTATATTATATCTATCTATGGGTTATTCCCTCATCGCCGTGTCTCCCAAGTACCAAAACTAACCTATTGTGACCTATATTATTTCCGTTCCGGTCTATAGGTACTATTACTAACATCAAATGCCTGGTCAGACACAATTACGAAGCCTAGATTACCTGTAAATTGCTTAGTTATTCGCAGTGGTCTAGATCTACTTATGTAATGAGTGTCTGAGGACGACAATAGAGTTTACTGGATTGTGGGTGAAGCTTAATCTGTATTGGTCCAATATCAAAAGTTCATTCACTGGTTTCTGTTAGATACTGTCTCATTAGTCTTCTATAAATTAGATTTAATCATTATTACCTAGTACAATATTATAGTAGGTAATATTATTATTTATTATGATAAATATGATATTGTGATATACACTTAAACCTACATATAATTTTTTTAAGGGCGGAAAATCATCGAATGTCTTCTCCCGCCTGGGCGAGGCGGGATGGCATTACGTGCCATAACGTAGGTACACCTCTGTCTACCCCTTCGGGGATAAAAGGCGTGATGTTATAATTATGTCCATGCAGTTTCTTGCTCGTTCTTCTCCTTTCGAATCTACATTTTGAAACGAGCACCTAGCTGACGGACAGACTGACACACTATTATTTATTTTGTATTTGTAAAGTACCAAATTATGGTTCAATTGAAATAATTGCTTTGATATTGGTTAACTTGTTTTCTCGGAATTATATTTGAAGTCCTTATATTTTCCAACTAACGCTTCTTTGGTCGAGTGGTAAAGTGTAAATGTCGAACAAGGGTTCCTAGGTAAGATTCCCGGATCAAGCAAAATACTTTTCGGGATTACAAAAATGTCTGAAAAGACATTAGCACCGGGGTCTGTACTTGTGCCTAGTGTGTGGTAATAGGCACAGGCATCATACACGCCCTATTGCATGGGATTCAAACCTTAACTTTTACTACCTACACCTCTGCTTACTCCTTCAGGGATCGAGTCAGGTCGTTACGTTTAATCATGGAAAATATTAAGTAAATACGTATACTTAAATGTGGTACCAACCTAGATAGGGTAAGCTTTAAACACTTAAGAAATAATTATTATTAAAAGTAAGTATTATTCTAATAATAAAATAGTAATTTAAAATTTCTTTCGTAGGTCCATGTATTTTCTTACAATTGAATATGTATTGGGTAGGGTAATTGGTTTTTCGTACTGTTCTATTCATATAAATAAACAAATAAATAAAATAAATAATGGTGTCTACGGATAATAGCAGTTCCACAAAAAGGAAAAAGGATACCTAGGCTGATTTGTAAAGTAGGTGGTACCTACATTTTGGTACTATTATGGAAATAGGGTTGTGGCTGTGATAGAATTTGAGGGATCGTAAACTAAATAGCTACCTATTTATTTTACGAATTAGTTATTTAGTTCTTTAAGGATTACCTATGTAGTATGTATCCTTAAATATCATAAGTAAGTTTCAGTGTTTATTTTGCGTATTCTTCGTAAATATATGTTCACAATTTGATACGCGTGATGGCATCTAAGGCTTCAGAATAAATTATAAATTGTTTATTTGTAGGAAGGCATTCAGTCATGTGCTTTTTCGTGGAAGGATTTCTTTCAGGCTTCAGGGCAAACAATAAACAGGTTGGTAATTAAAACTTCAAAAAAACTACTAATTTATTCTCATACTCAACCTACTATTTATGAAACATTTTTTTATATAAATAAGTACTTATTATTTAATAATTTGCTGTGGTTAAATTTTGGTAATAAATAAGTAATTAAACAAAATGTATTATTGGCTACGAAGATCGTATCTAATAATTTACATCTTTGGATTTTCCCAATTAGTAACACTTGTACGAAGCATCAAACACATATATAGACACTTTAATTTGTAAGATGTATATGGAACATTTATAAAAATGTATATCGATGTATATCTACGATTTTTTTTGTAAGGGTGGGAAATCATCGAATGACTGCTCCCGCCTGCGTGAGGCGGGAGGGAGTGTCAGACTCTTACTGACTAAAAACCACCCCGTTTCTTCTCCTGCACGTCGAGCTGGAGCCCGGTAACCCGTTAGGTTCTCCGCGACATGTATGTATATCTACGATAGGAAAAAAAACAATTGGGTACTTGCCAACTAGTCAAATTCAATACTTTTTTCGAACTGTCAAAGACGACAGTTTTCTATGAATTTTGTACGAGATTGTGTATAGTGACGTCACGTTTTTTTTTTTGCGTCAGCATACTTCTTCCTTAACTCGTCGAGTACCGGTTTTGCAGACACAATTATAGAACAATAGGTTGCGGTCACCGGTGACCGCTTGGTATTTGACAGTTTAAATATTTGCTGGAAAAATACTAAAATTAAGTTAGTAATAAAATCACTTAATGAAAGTGTGATTATATTATAATATTCTATTGCATTGAACAGTCCAAATAATTTATTTTTGAGTAAGGAAAGTACGGAATTCTATGCCTTAAAAGATGTTGTTTTCGTTAAACCGTGCACATTGTTTTAGCCAGGAGTCAATACTGGTGGGTATATAAGACCACCTTATTGTCTAATGATTTATATTAGCTCATAAGGCAACCCCAATAGTTATGATCATTCTTTTAAAAAAAGTGCCTTTGTTACATGTAACTTTGCATGCCGAAAACAGTAGGCGATGTATGTGGGACTATTTTTTATAATCATTATCACCTGTAATTACCATACCTCATGCAAATAAACAGTCTTAGGGTAAGATATATTTTTGGGTTCTGGGGTCATAATACAATATTCTTTGTAGACACACTCAATTAAATATTTATTTCGCTACCTCTGGTATTTATTATATCTAAAGGAAACAATATTCACCTAAAATAAAACTAATAATCTAGTATCATAACGTCACAACTAACTAAAGCCTCACCAGAAAAATAATAAAAACCATAGATGGCGCAACAATCGTTTTAAAGTCTCAGTGAATCCGCAACATGGCGTAGATTTTTACATTTCTGGATGGGTTTTTATTAAAATTAGGTATAGCTATAGGAGGTTTTAGTCGTTGTATGCAGGGTGTGCGTGTAGGACCCATCTAAATAATAATAAACTGATGCACGCTATCACGAAAAATGACACCAATACGCGAAGGTTCTTCTCAGATCTCTGATCTCTTTCACTGGCCAGTAACCGCTCCACTAGACCGTTCTGAAAACAAAAACAAACCATTTTATTGCTTTCATTATAGATAAAATAGAAGTACCTATTTATTATATATGTTGTGAGTTTACTCGGCTATTTTTAGGCAGTTCAAAAATAACTTTTTAGCTATAAAAGATAAGACAATTTTACTTTAAAGATCAGCGCGTAAGGGTTCTATCAAATACCAAGAATACTTTTTTAATGTGTAGGTGCGGAAACTCAAAAATACGTAGAAAAGGATCCAATAAAGAAAGAATCCAATAAATGTTGATATAAAACTTGACCTTATTAAAACTTTGATGATTCATCAATTTGTTAAGCGCTTTTGGTAGTAATATGTAATATGACATTAAAAGGTCTGGTACCTACGATTAACCGACTAGTTTCAGTACATGTAGGTACTGAACTTGAAGGTTACTTCAGTTGAAGTCGTCGAAGTTATTTGTGGGAAAGTAAAAGTTGTGTAAAACTTAGGTAGTAGCTTAACGAAAAAACAGCATATTACAACATTACATAATAGCTGAGCTTTATACCTATAAGTTTTATTAAAATAATTTAACCTAGGTAAATTATAGTCTTTTGTTGCAGCATTTTTAATTAATCAACGATATAATACGTATACGATAGATCACGGAGTTCCATAACTATAAATTAATAGACTTATACCCATCCACCGTGAGACGCAATCCAGGAGCCAGGTTCCTCGTGAAGAAGGTCAGCAATGGCAGCTGCAGGAGCTGACACCAGCTCAAGAGCTGGTTCTCCATCCGCAGCCTCGGCAGCTTCCCTCGCCAGTGCCCCACAAATACAATAAACAGCTGCTATCTGAAATCATGCCACATCTATTTAGGTTCATGAATTTTGCAAAACGAATTTAGTGCTGACCCAATTTATTCTTGCTTACGAAGCAGTTAGTAGTGACTTGCTTTTATTGTTACATATACGTGCTTTGTTTTCTATTGTCTCCTTCTTTTCAATTTTGCATCTAACAGTAGTTGATTTGACTTTATTATAGGTTAGCATATATAAAAAATGGATTTTCTTATTCTTATTGTTTGTTTTATTTAAGGACTGTTCTGTTTTGTTTTTTTTTTCTTTTATAATTATTTGAAATGTATAACGCCTTGGTTTTATGACTGTAATGTTATACTATTTAATTGAAATAAATAAATAAATAAATTACGTGGATCCTATGTAAGTAACTATATTGGTTGTATCCAAGCAAATTAGTGACACCCAATGGAGAGAAAAAATATTTTGATTTAAAAGTCTAGTCTAGTCTCATTGTCTGTCGGAATAACAAACGTTAGTTAAAACTTCTTCAAAAACAAATAGTTTAATTAACAGCAACTAGGAGATAGAAGATGGTATAAAACAAATACAGGCTTTACTGTTGGAAACTATTTGGTTCTAATTAATATCTACCTAATGTCCTTTGATTTGAAACTCTATTTGCCGATTTGTAACACTGCGCAATTAGCAATGACGGCAAGAACTGGAGTCTATTCCTAGGCGAGGCCATTAGAGTTACACCTTACGGTTCTCTGAGTCTCTGGTATACATCTCATTTTATGTCAGTGTTTGTTTAGGAAAATTTCAATAATAGCGTACACCAGGAGTAATTATTACTTGACTGTTGACTGGAATCTGGAATGCTCCGTTTAATTACATATTTCCCGGCTACGGCGAATTAAAATCGTACAAATGTAGCTAAATCTCTTTTAAAACGTTCCCGTTGTTGTAACAGTAGCCTGTCTTCTCGATTTTCTTTCGAAGATATAAGTAGGACTAAAGTACAGTACTGATGTGAAACTTTCTTTTTATTAATCTGGAGGTTTTCCAAGACTTATTATTTTTTCATTTTGATGGTAAACAGTTTTTATTCGAAACGGTAAGATGTATTTCGAATTCCCCTAAATTTTTATACGTAGATGCACCATTCTAAATTTTAAGTTGCCTCATGCCCTTAATGAGAGTTTCATTACAAAATATTAAGGATCATTAAAAAGGCCTTTTTGTCATGTTTCGAATCAAATTGAACTTTTATCAAATAACTTCCAGATTCGATACTTTTAGCACCGAAACTAGTCACTAAAATCGTTAATGGAATCAGTCAGTGAAAGCAGCACAAATATACCAAAGTAAGGACGTACTTGATTTTAAAGTCCACTCCAGACACTTATCTAATTCACCGGTATCTGATCTTGGCTACCGAGCCAAGATCAGTTTGATGATGATTTTATTGGTTTTAGCGTTAAATTGCTTTAAGTCTAGAATTCTGGCTAGGTTCTTGCAAACTAATTTGGAGGAAGCTTTTACCTGCCGCTGTCGCAAGTATTGGCTGACCTGATTAAACTATGTTCATTGAACGAGACTGTTTTCGTGGAACTACACAAGTTTCTCTTCACGTGGACTTATAAAATCGCCGTAGGTCTCAATATCTGTCTCCTAAAACTTTATTAATATAATATACAAAGGGAATGACGCAGGGCACATTGACCTTGAGGGACAAAAGCGTTAAATTACCGATAGTCGATAGTGATATTTTCAAAGGTATGGCTAAGACTTGAGGTCATTATATTAGGTCTTTATAATTATACAATGTATAAAGTTAAAGTCATAGATTGGATCTTTGAATGGTTAGCCACAGTGAACATAGCGTCTTACTTGAACGACGGCCTTTTATTTTATGTCGTATTTATTGAGGAAGACTATTTTACGACTTTACAAGAAATATTACACATTCCTACAACGCCACGGACGAGGCTGGGGGAAACTTATTGCTTTGCTTTACCTTAGACCATGTAATATTTTCCCTAGTGATGCGTCTCGCTAGTGCAAGGGCGAGTTCCGCTAATGCTGTATCTGAGCGCAGCATGGCGGAGGGGGCGCGAGTGGCCTGCCTGGCCACTTGCCGGAATGCGTCAGGTCGCTTCCTCTCCAGAGCAGCACACAACGCCCGGAGCCCCACCAACACTCCAGACTCCGAGTTACTCACAGCTTCCTCTCCGCATTCAGTCTCGAGCATTCGTTGTAACCGTTTCATTACTATTTGCTGCAAAACGTTACATCATAAGGAATTAAAAGTATTGGATTTATTTACCCATGTAATCGTTGGAAGTCGTTAAGATTACCTTTTTTTCGCATAAAGTGGATCTTCTAATCTGTGTCTTAATGTATTGTAGGCATAAAGCGCGTCCTTGTCGGACTATTTGTGGTTTGACTTGTGTGGGGCTGGCCAGACACCAGCCGATAGTTGCCGAGAGCCGCCGGGACACTGCTGCGGCGGTGCTGCTTGAGACCATAGTGCTGAAACGTCGCTTCGTGCGATCCAACGGCGATAATGATCGCGATGGAGAAGCGCGTAGATCTGGAGATACCACAAACCAATTTGTCTAAGAATAATCTTCAATTTTCTTAATCTAGCTACATCATTATTGTTAGCTTAGTATTTACTGGTTCGCCGAAGATTTTAATTAAAGTTGCGATTACTTTCGACGCAAATTATTTCAAATTATCCCAGATAGTTGAAGCCACTAAGTATGTAAACCTCAACTTATTACGCGGTTACTAATTAAACAATCTTGTGTGAGGGAACAAAAAAATTTTAAGAAATTAAAATTATTTTAATGATCCAAGTCTTTGTAAATGTTATCCAAATGTTGATAACCCTACCCTACGGTGCTAAAGATAGTGTTAATCGTTGTCTGTGGTTTGTTGAAGATCTGAGACTACGTACTTCAGAATGCCTTATTGCTTCACTTGTTCGATCTTAGCATAAGACACATGTTTGTACAGATATTGTCTGTTCGGTATAGTCTTGTCTATAGATATCAGTTAAAATAATGTTATGAAATTATAAATCAAGTAGGTATAATCATAATTATATAGGTCGGTATTAAAGTGACTACACAGCTTTAGGCTCTGTGTTAAAATAAAGAGATTCAGTAATGAGGTATGATATCGTAATTACTCGTACGTACTGCTGGGAATACCTACTTCATTATTGTCTAATTAATTAATTAGGGTGTTGTTACAAGGGCGTATTAAGGCTTTGATATGAATTGTAATAACACAGAAACCTGTGTTAATTTTAATAATTCGTAATACAATAAGGTATTACTATTAATTTCGTGTTGCATTATTGCAACGATAATTTATGTTCATAAATAACTTAAATCTGGTATGATTTACAATAGTATTGTGACCTTCTGCAAGTTTTTAAAGTCCTTCAGGATTATCACTGGACAACACATATTTAACTTCGATGTTTGAATAACCCTTTAGGGAATAACAGTTGTTATACGCTTACAATAAGACTTGAATTCCTAGTGTCGATTTCTAAAACCGATCTTAATCTAAAATCTGTAAAGAAGAACGGCAGATTTCGTACCGCTTTGCTAAAAAAAGATTTGTCATTGTTTTGCCTTGGGCAATTGGGTAGCTATAGAATCCTCTAAATACGTTATGTTAGCATATTTAATAGATTTTATAACTTGGGAAGCCCTAGAAAATCTCATATTCAATAATGATAAGAAGCAATCAACAAAACGGCTACATATTAAATAAAAACAAACCGCGATTGACGTTTATAAAGTTGCCATGCGTAAACATGAAATCAGAGTATATTGAATGTCGCTATTTCATAAACTCATTTATTTTAATATCAATGGAATATTTTCCTTTCCATTTCAAACATTTTTTATAAGTAAATATCATTATTTTAATTTCATTTTGTGAGGTCTACATGGATTATTAATGATAATTAACATTTTCACAAACTTGAATATGGCAATGTTGAACTGGTATTTGACATTTGTTGTTGAAGACGATTTGTCAATGTCAAGTGCGCCTTGCTGTTGGTTTCGAATGCGGTGTTATGATGTGTTTGTACAAATTGGAAGTCATTTTATTCATCTGGTGATACTTTGAGTTGGGCAGCCGTTCCTCCGTAGCCGAAATTGCGAAAATACACTTATTTTCATTTGTGCATAGTGTGTTGTATTTTGTCGCGATGACGAATTTACAGTGCATTAATTACAACCAGAGTTTGTCGCATGAGACGGCATGCTCTAGGAAATGAGAGTGAAGACTAGACGTGGTCAACAATATCCCATTGTGGACTTATCCTAGAGATGTAAGTAGGTACTTACCTATAATTACACATGACGTATCGAAAGTCACCTTGTTGCCTAAATAAAGGGGGCATAGTGTTATCTACCTATAATGTATCATTTTATTCTAGATCTCTCCTACCGACCATATTTGCCATGCTTGCTGGCAATTAGCAATGTATTGGGATGTTCCTGAAAGTATGTCCAGCAAACAAACTGATCATTGACATGTCTGTGTCGTATGTGGGCATTCCATTGCAAGGATAAGGTGACGCAGGGGTTTAATTGAAGGCGCCAACGAACAGGAGCAAAGACTAGCTCATATAGTATCTGATTGGATTCAGCCACGAAAGGTAATAATTTATTGTATTAACCATATACTATTATCATATAATTTAAAGTCAATATGACATTCTAATAATATTACTTTTTTTAGCTTACTTCCAATGATGAAGATCGTGTTCCATGCTGGCTGAGAGCCTTAACAAGAGTCGGATCTATAAGACCACAACCTGACATACCACCTCATAGTGTTCACTATCAGGATGTAATGTGTTATGTAAACATTTAAAAAAAAAAAAAAAAAAAAATTGCCCCACACTAGGATTTTCTCCTGTGTCGTGGGTGCGTTTACAAACATACAAGTTCACATACACAATGGACTAAGCCTCACTTTAACATTGCCGTTTGTAGAACAGATGAGGCCAGAAGATGTTGATCGGCTGTCAGAGCTTCAATAGGTATGTGAAGTGTATAACCGGTTTATAATAGGTTTATACACATGTTATAATTATAATAATTGATTAATTAGCATGCTGTTTGAGCTCCTATGATGTGTGTTATAGGAATACCCTATTAAACTGTCAAACACCAAGCGGTCACCGGTGACCGCAACCTATTGTTCTATAATTGTGTCTATAATGATGGTACTCGACGAGTTAAAGGCATTTTAACATTGTAAAATCAAATAATGTAATCAAATATTTATTTTTATCTTTTCTATTTTGAGATAGGGAATCACAATTATAACATGTGAAACTAATGGAAAAAATGTAGTTTTGTTTACTTTATTTACAGTTATCTTACTTGTTTACAGATATCAGCAATTAATGAAGTGTGTGCTGTATGACACCGCCTGCTCTCTTTTTAGAAGAAGTACTCCTAGAAACAACCTAAATACAATGAAATAAAAGTATTTCAAAATAATACATTTGTTTTATTTTAAACAGGTACCTAGTAACTATATATAAACAATCTATAAAATAAATGCCATCTTTATTTTAGATTGCTTTAGTTTTATACCAAAAATGTTCATTTTCATTTTACATTTCTTTACTTGTGTTGTGGTGGCCAGGAGGTTTAAGAAGCCCGTTTCTCATGCATGAGAGTGCAAGTTGCAACGGCAAAGTACCAATGTGACTTTTTCGAGTTATGTATATATATTTTTTATTTATTATTTAATAATCTAAGAAAGTACAAAGACACCACTGACAAACGGTGAAGGAAAACATTGTGAGGAAACCTGGGCTTATAATTTCTAATTATAAGTTTGAAATCACCAACCCACATTAAGCTAGCGTACTGATTAAACTGTCAAACACAGAGCGGTCACCGATGACCACAACCTATTGTTCTTTAATTGTGTCTATAATTACGGTACTCAACGAGTTAATGCTTAAACCTAATCCAGTGAGAAGAGACCTTCGGTCGGCATGGGCCACTTATAGACTTAATGATGAAACTGATGATGATTTTACTTATTTGACTTACTTATTAGAAATTAAACCTTAAAACGCTTGCTAAGCAACCAGTTTTCAGAAGAAATACTTTCTCAAAGAGCTACGCTTAAGTTTAAATCGAATTAACTTAAAGACTATTTGTATATCAGGCCTCTGCCTCGAATCTTGATTTTACACATTAAATCTTGCATCTGCCCGCAAGATTCAAGGTGAAGTGAGACATTAGTTTTATCATATCCGCCAAAAGACGTCCACTGCTAAATGTAGGCCTTCTACCCAATGACAGTCGCTCACAATATTAATTTGCATTTTCGTAGGCACCTAGTAAATGAAAGAGATTGTAAAGCATACTCTGTAAAACTCTATAGTTACAGCATACTTGCTGAATTAACAGTTAATTAATTTACTCATAATACAAAGTGTAACAGTCACGAGTAGCGAGCAGTGTTTAGAGTTTAGTTTGTAAACAAAACAACCAAATAAAAAATAAGTCAACATTGACATTTTTCAATTAACTGTCATCTGTCATTTGTCATATTATGTACTTTTGCGTAAAGGTGGCATTATACTTGACATTGCGTATTTGTTGTGTACGGCCAAAACAGACCATGTGTGGAGGGTTTATTCGTCTTCATTTGCTATATACGTATATTTGCACGCTTTTACATTTATAGATACTATTTGGACGCCATTTGTACGTAGTTCACAAATATTTGTACAAATGAAGCGAATACGCAATGGCAAGTGTAATACCGCCTTTACGTACCTTCTGCACATTTTCAAAGTGAAATAACTTTTGAACCCGAAGTTCTAAAAATATGTAATTTTTTTCTAAACTTCATAATAAAAATATCTATCGTTCAGACCATTCACTTGGTTAAAACAATGACAAATACAAAATTTTATAGCGGTACCAAACCTCCATACAAACCTGCCATTCTCCTTTTGACATAAGGTAATTCTATAAAATATATATACCGATTTAGAGTTTTTCGATTTAAATTGATAATATTATTGATGTCGGCAGTAGGTTATCTTACTTGGTAAGTTAATCAGTCCATCAGTTACTCCGGGCATCGCACTGAGCGGCGTGCTCAGTTTCCGGCGCATACGCAGCGTCGGCACAAACTCGTCATCTTCTTCGCCATCTGGTGGAGTGACTTGTATGGCGATGTTGCTCGCCTCTGGTATTCTTAACCCTTGCGGTACCCATCTTGGATCTGTTAGTGGCCCTATCTGAAAAAGTAAAATACTACCATTAACTATACTGACTGACTGCACCGTTGAAGTGGTGGCTAGGCAACTGGCTGCCGTGCAACGTGCCGCGGGTTTGATTCCCGCACGGAACAACTCTTTGTGTGATCCACAAATTGTTGTTCCGGGTCTGGGTGTCAGCTGAATGTGCACTTGTATGTTTGTAAACGCACCCACGATACAGGAGAAAATCTTAGTGCGGGGTTTTTAAAGACCACAAAAAAAAATAGTTGTTAGGTCTCTTAGATACTTAAGTTAAAAAGTTTATTACGCCACGGGACACACAAAAAAACGTCTATGGTGTATCGCAGCGCAAAAGGCCGGAGCTTAGTTCAGCTTAATGCTGTGGCGCAGACACGAAGGCTCTATAGTCCATGACGCTGATTTTCTGCACCAGCCTATGTGTTACTAGAGTAAAGTTAAGAAGTTAAAAGAATCTTTCCTTTAACTTTTTAAATGAGCAATATGAGCATAGTTAGTAATTATTATTTAGTACTAGCTTCTGCCCGCGACTTCATACGCCCAATCCCGTTTTCTTTCGCTCCCGTAGAATTTTCAGGATTTTTTCTGTATTAAGAACCTTCTATAATAAATACAACAAAAGAATCAGCCAAATCGGTCAAGCCGTTTTCATGCTATGTCGTGACAACGGAAAATGGGTTTCATTTTTATATATATAGATGTTCATTTTATACTCAGATTTTTTATTTTTTTGTATCGTATCGATAGAGGATAAAGTATTTGCTCCAATACATTAGTTGTTTCTAACTACTTTTAGCAGATCTTATTGGTAAGAAGAAAATATTTATAAGCACGTTCGCATTGAAAACTGATAATAAACAGTTTAATGTTTATATTTATAGAAGTTTATAGTAAGAAAACTATAAAAGATTTACTCCCCATTGAAAGATTAATGAGATAACAGTGTAACAAAGAGCAGACGATAGTTACGATAAATCATACTTTACGAGATTTCAATTTACTTTTTACAGCCGTAAAACACTTTTACAAGGTATCGATGTTGTTGGAAGGAGAATGCAAAGCCAAGGAAATGCGCTGTCAAAGTGAAAGAAATCCCCTAAGGTTGTACACGGTAGTACAATATTATGAATAGTGTTGTAGTCACAACAATAATTGATTGGTAGCTTATATCGAAGTGCGATATCGATATCGAAGGCTATAAACGCCTGTCTTTTCCCACGGGACCCTTCGTTTTACTTATTTATTGTCTTCGCTATTTAATTACGGACTTTTCAATCAATTTCGTCTGTTTATTTTTAATTTTACTATAACACTAATATAAATTAGTGACTGCCTCGTTGACCGAGTGGCCGCAAGTGCGACTGCCAGGCAAGGGGTCTCGGGTTCCATATCCGGGTCGGGCAAAGTATTACTGGGTTTTAAAAAAATTCTCAGTAGTAGCACGGAGTCTGGAATTGTGCCCGGTATATGGCAATAGGCCTGAATAGGCTCACCTCCTATTACATGGGACTCTTAACATAAATAGTAAAAAGTTGGTGTTACATTGTACAGTGGCATTAAGTGGCGTAATGTGCACCTCTGCCTACCTCTTCGGGGATAAAAGGCGTGATTATATATGTTATGTACTAATAGAAATTTCGACGCGTTTTTTGTCTGGAACAAAAACTCTAGGCAGGCTTTCGAAATAGATGTAAAATAAACATAATGCTTATAATTACTAAGGTTATGCGGTTGACCAAAATAATAAACGGTTTTGCGACAACAACTTCAAATATTTTATTTGATACGTGACTTAAATATATCATTTGTTAGATGTTGCTAATGAACGTACAATTACTTCGTGAACGTTTGTATAAAACTCTATAGCTGTGTACTTGTTATGCATAAATAACTCAAAATGGCGCCAGATGAACTTTATGTGCCTTTGAAATGACTCGTAAAAATACATTCGTAATATCTATGTGTGTATAATTTATGAACCTACATCCTAACTGTGAGAACATCTTGGTAAAAAAATGTAAAATGTGTTCATGTGACAGAAGTTACCGACGTCCTAAGTAATGCAAGCTCCACACCTTTCGTTTGGACTGTTCAGTCGAACTGTAGTTTAATCGAAGGTCCATACAGCATACATACCATACGGTTTAACTGTACAGTTCGACTGTACGGTTAAACTGCACATGTAAATCGTAAGGTGTGTAGCCTGCATTAGAGAGTCTATTTTAATCACGGCTTTAAACTGTCAAACACCAAGCGGTCACCGGTGACCGCAACCTATTGTTCTATAATTGTGTCTATAATGACGGTACTCGATGAGTTAATAAACAAGATACCCATTAACTACACAGATATATGTAAAAGTGTTATTTTTAAACTCTATAGTATGTTAATTTATAATTACAACTGGGATTAATAAAACCACACATTATATCAATATTACATCGCAACTGAGAAGGTGAATTGAAACAAAAATGAGTATGTAATGTAAATATTCATTAAGTACCTACACATTATCATTGTGTTACTAAACCCTTAAGGATAGGCAGAGGTGAATATTTGGGAGGCCAATTTCCGCAATCATGATTTTAGGACTGTGTCACGACCTCCAGAATTTATATCTATCTATACATATAATAAAATCGTAGAAAAGTCAAAACTGTACATTGCATATTTTTTTTAAATAATACTTGAGGTGTGATCTACAATCGATACCGAAGCCAATTCCTGAATCCCCAACGATCCTCAAACTCCTAGTCCCTAAAAGGCCGGTAACGCACTTGTAACGCCTCTGGTGTTCCAGGTGTCCATGGGCGACGCCGATTGCTTACCATCAGGTGATCCGTCTGCTCGTTTACCGGCTTATGCCATAAAAAAAACACTTTTCTTGTCACGTGAAAAAAAAATTGAAACCAAATCGAAATCGTTTTTTTTACAAAACGATGTAAATAAAGATTAATGATTTAAAACAGGTACAGGATTTTGTTTCTTATTTTTTGACCGTTTTTCATTGAATGCTAAAACAACATAATTTTCTTTCTTCCTTTGATATTCGCGGGCCGGGTAATTGGTTTTTGCTGACCTAAACCAAGTGCGTAATGGTTTTGTTAATCCTGGTTTAAAACGAGCTTAGGTAGTATAGTTTGGTCAATCGTTTACAGTTACTAAGTCAGTTTTTTATATGTTTTTATATGACTGGCACGTGATACGTGGAATTTCTTGCTCGTTCTTCTCCATTCGAATCTACATTTTGGAATGAGCACCTAGCTTCACTGACGGACTGATTGACAGACTATTATTTATTTTGTATTTGTATATTTTAGTACATAAGTTATTATCGAATATTAATATATGTATAATGTATATAACTTAAAATATGATTAATTTAAACCTAAAAAATAAAAATATATCATAAGGCATCAAAGAAAACATTTTCCTCATCAATAATAAAATGTATATAAAAAGAAATTGTAATCTAAGTAGTATATGTAATATAATTGTGTAAGTTTATTGTTATGACATATACATGTAAGTTTATATAGGGATTTATTTTATGTAAGTCTATACTATCCGTTTTTCTATGTATTTCTGTTGAGTTTTAAATACGCTTGCTTCTTGCATCGACCATTGTTTTTGTCTCTGCATCACCCAAAGGTCTGGCTGGAGGAGAAATCCCTAGGCATTAAGCCCCACCTTGTACATTAGTGTGTGCATGAAGTCTTTTAAAATAAAAATAAAAATAAAATAAATTGTATTTGTTGACGTTTCAAAAGTATCAAATTATGATTTAATTGAAAATAAATGCTTTTACTTTGATACAAGGCTTAGGTGCATACCAACTTTATTCCCAATTTAGAAATTGATCTAGAATTGAAGGTTGAGCACATGTTGAATTTTTCAGACTTTAAGTCTCACATCGCTATTAGTTTTTATGAGTAGTCCACCTAAATAAGTTTCATATGTATTTCTGAATTTTTATTATGATACCTACCTATATAGCTACTTAATTAAAAATACTTAATTGTGACCATTTTATATTCAGTTTTTTAATACACTGAATTATTTCGTATAATATTTTGATTAAAATCTTTGTGAGATGCAATATAAAACTCAGTTGGATACAGTAAACAGTTACTGGCACACGTTCAAGTCGTTGATTTATTTATTTTTTAAATGTCTCGTGTTTCCTGACAGTGCATACATTAGCATGTTAATCAGAATGTCTTGGAGAAGTTTCGCAATTTTATTTAAATGTTCAGTCACTAGTAAAGGACATATTTTCTGTAGAAAATTATTCCATTAATATTACATTGGCGTGGTCTATTCTAGTCACTACATATCAGTGTTCCAAACTATTTCAATTAGCGTTGCCTAGATGGGTAATATTTAATTCAATTTTAATCTAAACACGTAAATATTAAAGATAAACAGGTCTTAGTTTAGGGGTTTACCGCAGTTAGCTCTTTATAAAAATTCTTAATTTATTCATAGTTAAAATTTTCACAAGGTCGTTATCGCAGTTATTAAAGAGCATTCATTTTCATTTTGTTTGTTTTATAATTTTGAATAATCTTTGTAAATTAATTATGACCACTAAACTTATCAACTTTAACTGCAAAATTTATCATATAAAAGGCTTGATATGTATGTACGAGTGCTATATATACATCAGCATTTGAACAGAATCTCTTAGTAGTTGTCTCCTTGTTTACGTAAAACTCGGTTCATTTTGAAAAGAGATCTACCATCTTAATCAGTGCAACATTCGCATGACGTCAAAAGAATAATTTCGTTCAGTCCGCTGTTATTCACTGCGCACATTTAGTTAATAGCTGCGATGAAATGCAAATAAGTGTAACATAAAACCCGGTTCAAGCGATTCGAGTTTGTACGGCACATTCTGGTTCCGTATATTTTCGCTTTTGTCTAGTAAGGGGCACTCACAAGAACAAACAAGTACTCAACCATTCAATGCTTCAATAGAAAGGGACAATGCGGATGAG